TTTTTAACGATGTTATTAGAAACTTGCCGTGCATATATCTATAGGTATATATATTCCCCTTTTTTATTATTATTTTCCTTGAGATTATGTATTTACTCCATATATGGGTGACAATAAAGATGGACATTATTTATCTTTTTGTTTCTAAAAAAGGGTATTTAGTCACTTCGCTGACATATCAACTTGTCGACAATCAACACCTTTTATAGTCGACTCGGCAAGTTAATTAGTGGTTTCGGCGCGTTGACTACAACATTGATGAGTTTGCTTATGATGACGGCGAGTTGACATGTCGACGAAGTGATCAGTTACTGTTACATTGTAAAAGAAGCGGAGAAAAGCATAAGGAGCCTTTTAGGTATTTGCTGTTCCAAGCTATAGAAACTTGGCGATAGCATTTCGTCGATCAAGCAGTAAATGTGTCGCAGCGGAAAACAGAACCTTGCAGTCTGAATACTTAAACGTCCACTTTAACGCTTGGGTTTGTAAAATTTCGTGCTGTATATGAAAACAAACAGAAATAAAAAAAAATTCCCTCCATAGGTGGTTTACAAATCGTTTTGAAAATCATGAAACTATACACGGGGAACGATGTTGTTTAAGAGATTCGCTTTTCATGAGAATTGGTAACAGGGTGTTTAAGAAAGGAAAGTAGTACGGAAAGTTAATGCTACGTGCTCAAACAATGAAGAAATATAAAAGGTGCATGTTATGTTAGCAATTCCAGAAACTCAAAAGTTTGAATTGTGTGTTTTGGGTTTTTCCTTTCCAGGATTGATTCTTACGAGAGATTCCTTCTTGTGTTCATGCAATCGTAAAAGCAACTCGCCCTGTTTTGGATAATTCTACACCCGGTCTCCATCTTGTTCGTCATTTCTGTCAACTCAACTTCAGACTATCGACATGGTACCGTTCGCTATCTCTCGCGTGATAGCCACGCGATCATACTCCGGAAAATACGAGAGCGCCCACTAGTCTTGAAGACGAGTCAGCAAAGTTACCTTTTTAACACTTTGACGCGCGCGAAGAGTTTAAAGCCCCCCTTCGCGCGAATAGAGTTTCTGCCGTATTAGTTTATCGGCGACAAGAAAATAACACGTAAGACATTTCGAAACATACGAAAACTAATTTCCAATTGAATATCAGCTGCGTAATTTTACAAGTGTAGGAAAAGAAAAAACGAAGATGATCATCCGTCACTGTCAACCTTCATCCTTTGACCTCTAAGAGTGACTAATAACTAAATTCTCCGTACAATATCACCACTGAATCACAGATTTAAGTCCCGAGAATAAAGGAAATGATCACCAACTTAAGTAGCTCTTGACTGCTAAACAAATTCTCCTCGTCAGCACATTAGGAAAAGTATATAGAACAGTATGGAGAATATGCATACTGATGTTAGAGTGTAAAGGCTTTATACACATATGACTACCTTTATGTGAAGAGACGCCAAAAAAAACACATATTTAGAATTCCAGAAAGTTTACTCATGAATTTTTCGAACACGTCCTTGTTGCATAAAAATTTGGGAAAATATGCTCTTAAATGGCAATAAATAATTAAAATCACAAATCGAATTAACTGGCGTCAACTAATCGAGTTAGGGGCTTGTCAAGAGAACTTGATTTTAACCATACTGTTTTTTCCCCTGAAGACTTCATAGATATAAAATCGCCAATTTGTGGAACAAAAGAGATAAACAAGGTGGCTTATAGAAAATTCTCTCTGAAGCAATCCAGTTGTTCGAGAATTTTTGATATCATTTCCCCTTCATTAGTTCAGTCTTTAGCGGAAAGAGGGGAGGGGGAGAGTCTTACTTTAAAAAAAAAAGTTTAACAGGATTTAAGGTATGCCTTCACTCTTGAAATTCCCATCTTATAAAGCTAACCCTATTTACCTTGAAAACGGTG